ACATAAGGAATTAAGAGTAGGCCAAATAATTCCCTTAAGGTATGCGTAAGTAATGGTGAAATGGAGAAGCGAAAAATGAATTCACTACTCCTAAGGTTCACAACGAGAGTTTCCTTCTTAGATTAATTGTAAATAATAAAGGATGCGTGATGCATAAACGCTCATTTTTTTATGTTTACAATTAAGAAAAACTGCAGTTTTGACAATATTCGGCTAAAAATTCTTATGAGTTAGTTAAGTTGGCTGCTCGGCAAATAACTTCAGAAGATAGACTTATGCATTTTGATGTTGTGTCTATGTACACAAGCATTCCTGTTCAATGCACCATTCAGGCCCTAGCACAAGCTCTGTAAGAGCCTCTATAAATCACAAAAGGAATAAGTTTGAGCATAACCTTCATAGGCATACTTCTTAACCTATACATAAGTAGCAACTATTTTACCAATGATGGTAAGTTATATGAACAAACACAAGGACTTGAGATGGGATCATGGCTAGCTTCCATCTTGGCGAACAATCATTTGGCAAGACTTGGAGAATACTTCCTGGAAGAGGCAGTACTAACCTCTAAATTGTTGGTTAGATATAGGGTCTAATATTTTGTCATCTGGTCTCATGGTAAGGAAAGTTTAGATAGTTTCCTACTTTCACTTAATGGACGTGAAAGGAAGATTAATTGAACAATGGAAACGGAATAGAGTAGGTCCTTACCCTTTTTGTATGCTATAATTATTAGAGAAGAGAGTAAGTTAGGAAGATATGCATATAGAAAGCCATTATATGTTGGCTCCTTGATTTTCTTTCCAACAATATTTACAAACTTTAGGTTGGTATTTTTAAGTCAGTGATTATTAGGAGTATGAGGCTAGCATATAACAAGCATTTGACTGGCAGATTTATTCCTCGAAAATAATTATACCTTGTACCTATTTTAGAATAATATATCTTTACTAAGTAATACATTTTCAGACGGATAATAATTAGTCAAGGATAGACATGCTGAGATCTTTTCTCATGTCATAATTTTGCCGTTA